ATAATAAATACACTATTGTCGTTCCATTTACAGAAAATAGAGCTTAATAGCAAATATTGTAAATCTTTAGTTTGTTTATTATTTTAGTTATCTCGAATAGGATTTTGTTATGATTCGCTTTTGGAGAAACATGCTTCGAAAACAAATCCAATGATTTCTTCGAGCAAATATTTAATGTTATTATGCTATTTACCTTAAAAGAATAAATATTTCCGAAGCCAAAGCTAAAAAACTTTTACCCCTTAAAGGGAAAAATTGAATTCCTTATGAATTAAATATTGACAGAGTATTGTAAGATAAATAACCAGTTCCCGAAATTTTTGCGAAGTAACAATTGTGTTGCTCAGAGGGGCCAAGTGCTGTTCGCTTTCGAATAACCTATAAATATATTACATACAAGTATGTAGGTATATAGTTATATATATTTAACTGGCAGACGATTAGAATTATCAGCGCAAACTCCAAGGTTAACTGCCGACTACTATACTAACTAATATTTTATTGATATGCAATTATCAAAGCACTCAGCCTAATTGCAGTGTCAGTCAGAAAGAGTAAGATGTGGATTGTTGTCAGAAATCAGTAGTCGTATCAAGAGAGGAATTAGTATACGTAACGCCTCACTTAGCTCGAATTTGCGATGAAAATTGGCTCATTTGACGCTAGTTGTAAATAACACAAAGGGCAACAACTTATCATGCAATGTGTATATTGAACGCTACATATATTATTATTCAAAGCTTTAACTGCATTTTGAATGGAAAGTTACAAATAAATACTTAGTATAGGCGAACCGCAGCTACTTAAGTCAGTTAGTTACCTACTTTAGCGGCCTATTAAACACTTTTTATTGCAGACCTTCGATGCACCAATTAACAAGTTTTACAACCAGCTGATCAGAAAATACAAATATTCAAGGTTTTCAATTGTTTTCAGCCGCATTGAAAAGGGCTTTCCTGGGGTCGTAAACAATTTAAGCAAATTTTACGCTCAAACCGTTATAAAGATTTGAGGTCGAACGCTGTTTTGAGAATGGCATGAAATTTTGCAAAACTATGTCTCACATAGCCGATGTGAAGGCATCAAAACAAATATGTACGTGTATATTAAAATAAACAACTTTTGTGGCAACGACAATTGCAAGAAATCGTCGAGGTCAGCTGTGCTTCAATGAGAAGCGCCGAGAAGAGTGTGCGGCCTTCGGTGCGATCGTGAAAGTTGAAACTAAGGTTGTCTGCGACTTCAATGAAGTAACAAGAGTTCAGTTCAATGAGATTTTCGACTGTGGAGGTTTCAAAAATGAAAAGCAACATTATCTTCTGCCAGCTATTCATTTCTAAAGACGAATGAGATCCCAACCTCACTTTCGACCTCACCCATTGGTTCTAAGAATATTTGTAGTGGTACCGTTAGGTTCTCCATATCTAAATACTAGCATTAACATTGTTGTAGCTTAGAAAACTTTGCAGCAATTAAGTGATTGAATTAAGAGTGAAATGTGGTTCTAATCGTCTCCTAGACTTCATATTTAATAGCATTTGTCTTTCACAAAATTGCTAAAATAAGTCATAATCTTGATTCTGTTCTATCTTTTTTATCTGTTTAAATCGTCCTTGTAATCGAGCCTTTAACCTGACTTTAAACTTACAGTTTTTGTCTTTGCGGACGTTTTTCTAATTCTTGTTTTTTATTAAACCTATTTGCCTTTTATTTGTATTTAACTTTTTTCTTTTTTCTTTCTTTCTTCCACTTATGTCATTGCTACAGACTGCGTAAATATTCTTCTATTCATTTCATATTCATTTCAATCTCTTTTTATTTATAGAATCAGTATTCACCTTTTCGCTCTTCTTATTCTAATGGCACCTCATTATCATCCTCCATATCATCCCCATCTATTTGTCCATCTATATATTTATTTTTTCTTAAAAAAAACCAAACTCGAAATACTTGTACATTTGTTGAGCTGGCGAAGCTAGTCTTTTTTAAATGTTATTCAGCTTATTACTTATTTAGTTTAACGCATAAACTCGTTTGAATTCTGATGCAAGAAGAGTGCAATTTGCTTTTATTTCTAATTTCTTGATTTTGACTTCATCAGCGACAAACGGGCTGGGGAGTTCCCCTCATTCCCCTCACAAGCACGGTAACTCGGTGAAGAGCTGAGGAGTAATGTACTTTAAACATATTCAGTCGCTTAATTTATATAATTAAACTTGTACCCAGGGCGTGGGTAATCCAAATCAATATTCTTCAACTCAATTAAATTGCTTTAAATTAATGAGAGACCTATATTAAAAGCCTGTTTTGTGCTTTGCTTGAAATTGTGGCAAAGTTGCTGTGAATAATAATTGGTTTTATTGAATTTTAAGTTTTTAAAGTTATATTTAGAATTTTGCTACAAATTCAATCAAAGCCAAGTCGCTGTGAATAACAATTGGTTTTATTGAATTTCAAGTTTTTTAAAGTTATATTTAGAAGTAAGTTATGAGCTTTTAAATGTTTCTCCAAGAATAGAGTTAAGCATGACGTAATATTTTATTCATATTATGAAAAGCATTCGCTTAAGTTGAAAGAAGTATATGGCATAGAAAAAATAAATAAAAAGCGATCCCAATAGAAATTGTTTATGATTAAGAGAGTGTCTTAAAAAATGCAGCGTTGTTTGAAAAACAAATATTCTGCTTGCCTATGTTCAGATTTCAAGCTAATGCGTCGATTTCGACTAGCTTTATAAGTACAAGAACTTTTTTAAAGAAGAACACAGAGCTAATATTTTGGCAAAATCAGTTTTTACCTCCCTACTCAAAATAACTTTTTTCACGAACAAGAAGCATTACGAACGAGTGGTCGGCATGTCCTTCAGAATGGCTTTAAAATTCTTTTTCTATTTCTATTTTTTTCAATGGCAAATTCACTTTTCCGACAACTTTTAATAGTCATACGCAGCCAATTCAATCAAACACCAAAAACTCCAATTATATAGCATATTTAACCAGGTGGAACAAATTCCTAATGAATAAACAAATCAAATGATATGGTTTCGGGCCATCTGGGTGCGCTTTGAGGCTTAGTTTAAGCATCGTATTGAAAACAACGCTTTCCATCACAATACTAAGTATCTATCTAATAATTATTTTATTATTTTAACTCCCTCTTGATAACTTTTGAATATTGAATTAAGAGTGAGGCTTAGTTTTAGCATCGTATTGAAAACAACGCGTTTCATCACAATACTAAGTATCTATCTAATAATTATTTTAACTCCTTCTTGTCATCTTTTGAATATTGAATTAAGAGTGAGGCTTAGTTTTAGCATCGTATTGAAAACAACGCGTTTCATCACAATACCAAGTATCTATATGATAAGCTTGGGTATTTATTTTAAATCCCTCTTGAAATATTTTGAATATTGAATTAAGATACATTTTTGTTTATCAGCAAGAGAGAGAGAGAGAGAGCGCATCTTTCGCTGATCGAATTTTTGTTGATGAATCGTTGTTTTGAAGAAATTTCATTCCTTTTTTTTAGCCTTTTAAAACTACTTATCTAGTGCCTGCTGGATGCTTTTAACGCCTTGCTTGGCACACTATTTATGCACATTGCTGACTGATTTACATATTAAAGCATTTTCCATCGAGTCGGCATGAATCATCGCTTCTATTTTTACATGCTGTTGTTTTTCTTCCCCCCCACCCCTAACGCGCATTTACACATTGTAGTAACATAAGTTACCTAAGTTAGTACGGCTCATTAATTTTTAGTTGTTTTACTTTGTATTTTTGCAACGCATTATTAACATTACATGTCGCTTCGTGAGTCGTGCCTTGTAATTTGTGAGACACTTTGCATGTTTCGAATCAACAATTAAATTTGTCACGAATTGCAATAACAATAATGAAGAGATTAATTAAATTAGTTGCACGTTCAATTTAGTCTTAGACTCGTACATAGCTTTACAAAATATTGTAAGCCGGCAAATGAAATGTATGCACATAAATTTTAGGGGCTGTTGAACCGCTGACGAAAACTGCGAAACAACAAATAAACATTACAAAAGGGTTTTTGTTTGTCAGTTTCAAAAAATTCAAATCAAACGCTTGGCCAGAATGTAAACCAATTTCTGGTTGGCCGCTTGTCCGACCGGTGTGACGAAGAGCTTGACAAACAAGCCGAAATTGTTAACGACAGCGAACAAAAGGCTGACCAGCACATTTATTTTTTATTTATCTTTTTCCATATCAATTAATTTGTTGTCTGCCGCTTGTCTCTTTTTATTATTGCTGTTGTTGTTGACTTTTCGAGCCATGCTTTGCTTTGCTCCGACCTTGACTTTCGCCTTGATAAGTGAACGATCAAACAAAGATCGAGAAAAATTCAAATTTAGTTGCTAATTGGTTCGTTCGTATGATTTTTGGCCAAGCTTGACTGCAGCCCAGAAATGCAGTGATTTGTTCGATTTATGCATTTGGCCAAATTGATTATGCATCTGTGAGAGCCATTTGTCAGTCTTCTAATAGCAATTGAAGTCCTTCGCCCGTTGTCAGCAGTTATGGAGCTCGACATCAAGTGTATCTGGCGCACAAAATGCCACGTCATGACTTGGCTTTTTTTTAGTTTCAATTTAAATTTGATTATTGTTGCTGTCCAAGGTGCCGCACGCTTGCTTTGTATGGGCCGAATAACCGAACTACAAAAACACAAACCTTTGCCTATTATGCGGCTTTTGAGCTCATGTTGTGTGACCAGTTTTGTTGTTGCTCTGGCCAGTCTGTCGCTTCTTCCGTTGTGGGTTGCTAATGAAGTTCAGCATTGACTCATGTGCTTCCCTTGGACATTGAGGCATTGAACTGTGCGCAGGCGCGGAAGTAACCCAGTTCATCATATCGTCTTTATCTTTTCTTTCTTTATGCTAGCTGTGTCCGTATCGCTAGAGGAAACGCTAAATTGTCTACAAAAGTTTATCAACCGCACTCATTTGCTTTTATTCTCGCTCACAGCGTTCACTTGCAAACATGGGCAAAGCCGAGTGCATCAGCTACGATGATAACCAAGTACCCTACATCGACTTGGGCACTGCACGGATTCGCATGGAAAAGGAGGAGGCACCCGAATGGGCGCTGAAGAAGGCACAGGATGAGCTGCGCGAGCTGCCCGGCATTAAGGAAGAGGCCATCAAGGAGCTCCGCCGCCTCATAGAGAGTGAGTTTTGAAACATGGAAAAAACGCTGTGTATGATATATGTGGGAATTGGTGATAATTAGCTTAGAAGGTTATCAAAATAAAGCTTCAATTAGAGCATCAATAAATCCATAATGATAGCAACTACTGATTCTGTTTTGATATAAGAATCTATCTATCTACAGATTCAGTTTTCATATTAGAATCTATTTAGCAGAGCTCATTATCGATGTGTAGCTAAAGAAAGGAAATAGCACAGATATCGGAAGTAGAAGAAGACTTGACTTTACAATGATAGGAGGGAGCAGACTTAATATAAATTAAATATATATATTAGATCTCCAAAGAATACCCCCTGGCTATGAAATGCATGTATAGTAGTAGATTATTGCAGCTACGAAAGATTTAGTTTCTTAAATTATTTATGGTTACAAGTGTTCCCAGAACTTTTAGGCAGTCATCTAAAGGCACCTTTCTATTATAATTTCTAGTTGTTCTCAAAGTAATTTAGCACAACTAGTTGTAGAATTCTTTTCACTTTTTAAAACTTCACTGCCAAGATGACATTTAGCTGCCGGCCGGTGAAGCAATACACATCTTTGATTGATTGTTCTAGAATTGACGTAATCCTGAGATTATAAAGAATGAACGACAAAGAACTGACTTACAAAAATCTCTCTATGCTGATTCATAAAAAACATAGAAGCCAGATGAAATAGTCTTGGGAACATTTCATATAGGATGTTTATCTTAGGTTACTTCTACTTATACAAAGAACCTTTATTATGAACTTGTATTGTTATTAACTTCTTCCAACTTTTTATGCTTAATTTCTGCATAATAGATGAAAAGTATCTGAACTTGCCAATGGATGATGAGTACATGATGATGTTCCTCAGACCTACCCATTACTACCCGGAGAGCGCTTTAAAGCGTTTGAAGAACTTCTATCACATGAAACTGAAGTACGGCATTGCCTGCGAGAATATTGTGCCCGGAAAGCTACGGAATGTGTTCGAGAGCGACATTCTGTCGTTGCTGCCCACCCGTGATCAGCACGGACGTCGTCTGTTGGTGCTCGAGGCTGGCAGTGAGTAATTGTTGGATTGTTGGAGCTCCGTCCCATCATGAAGGTCAAACTAAAGTTTTGATTTGATTTGATTTTTTGTAGAAAAATGGAAGCCTTCACAAGTGCCGCTGTGCGATCTGTTCCGTGGCATTCAGCTGACGGTGCTGGGCTCCATGGTGGAGCCATATTCGCAGATTTGTGGTGCTGTTGTCATCATTGATATGGAAGGTAATGAAAGCGACTACAATGTACACAAAAAGTCTAGCATGCCGTAATGATAATGACCCGTAATAGCCGACAAATTTTATTACACTGCACAGTCACATCGACAGCCCATTTGACCCCAAATTTCACATTTTAATTGCCACACAGGTCTGCCACTGAGCCACATCACACAGTTCACGCCCTCATTTGCCGCCATGTTGTTGGACTATGTGCAGGAGTGCATCTGTATGCGACTGAAGGGTGTACACATTGTCAATAATTCCTATATCTTCAACATGCTGTTCGCCATTTTCAAGCCCTTCATACGCGAGAAGCTGCGCAAGCGCGTGAGTTGAGAACAAGATATTCAAATATTTCAAATAGAAATTGAACATATTGTGTGTTTATTGGCAGATTTTCTTCCATGGCAAAGATTGGAAGTCGCTAACATCCCACATTGACGCCAACTCCTTGCCACCCAAATACGGCGGTACGGCCACATGGGAGCTGCCGCCTGGCAAGCTGCTGGGCGAGTTCTTCGAACTCTACACCCCCGACTATGAAAGTAAGCATATACTTAAATTTATTTGTATGCTATTATTTATGCTAAAAATTAATTGAATTTGTTGCAGGAGCCGACAGTTATGGCTACATGGACGGCTATACGATGAAGAAGAAATGAGCTTAGCCATGACAGTTTTTGATATTTTTGTATTTTAACGCATTAAGTTGGGTCATTTGTGATATTGCAATTACTATATATTGTATTTTGTAGTTGTTTATTCCAAATGTTTTTAAGTTTAAGCTTGCAGTAGAAGAATTGTTATAAGGCACTCTTAAATTCTTGCGATATTATACACCACACACAAAAATTATATATAAACTATATGTAGATGTTACAAATGTAAAGGCACCATTGAAGTGCGTGCAACAAAAACACAAAGCAAAGTGCTAAAGATTTGAAATATGACAAACAAAGACTTTAGTAGGGTTTCTAGGCATATTGCAGAATAATTCTTTTTGTAATCATTTAATTAAGATAAATAAAATACACATAAAATTATGATAAATACACAAACTACTCAGAGACTTTGTTTAATTTGCGGCGATTTGTAAGACTGTCTAAAGGGGAATACTCCATGGGTTTTATTGGATTCAAATTTATTTTTACTTCTTTCGTTTTGAAAAAAGCTTTTAAAGGTATTTCCAGAGCGCCTTCTTCACAGCTTTTTCCTATGGAATCTATCTATACTTTTTATTGTCTCTGAAGCCGAGAAGAATTGAGTTTCTTTTCTGTTAAATGTTTTTATGAAGCTTTTCCATTAGTTTAACACTGCAGACTGAATATACATAGCAATATTTAACTATTTAACTAGCTGATTCAATACGAATATCTCAGCATAAAAACATTTTCTCGTCTAAGAAGTGACAATATACGATTGTCCGTGTCCAATCAATTGCAAAATGAAAATCGTTATGAATTTCGCAAACGAATGCTTTCATTTAACAAAAAATTAAAAAAAATGAATAAATAAACCTGATATATGGCTTATACGATAATTGACTTTCTGTAGCGATAGAGGCACTGGTTTTACAGTTTTATGGCCACTACACAGTAATTAAAAACTTTACAGTTTAAGAGCACTGCAAACTTGTTGATGGTTTTAGAAGCACAAAGCACACCATTTGCAATGCGGGTCGTTACAGTTTTGTGTAGCTGTTTTAAAGTCGCTGCTTAGAAACGCTTTAAGCCACTTCTTTAGACTTAATGCTAAGCAAAAAATTTGTAATTACATTTAATATATAAAAGCCACTACAAAAGTCATTTTATACAATGAAATGTTTTACGTTCACTGCTTGAAACGCTGTTTGAAGGCCACTCTAGAATCAATGCCTTAGAATTATATTTAATTGAATTGCAAAGGGAACTTACAATAAAAGAACGATGCAGGTCTTCTTTAAATGAAAAACTTTACTTCTTTCTCAAGTTATTATTTAATCTATTGCATACAAATATGTATGTCTCTTTAAAAGTGCAATGCTTCATTTATCACGCAGGCTTTCTCAGTTTAAGAGTAACGGTTTTAGAGTCACTATTCAGAAACACGGTTTGAGAGCCACTCTAGAGTACATTGCAACTCCATTTAATTTGTTAATAAAAGCCAGTTTTTTTGACTTAACTCGTTTTTTGGGCACTTTCCAGTTATATGAAACACTCAACTTTTTTATAAAATGTTTATTTCGATTTTTGTTTGTTTATTCCATACAAATATGTATGTTCCTTAAACAGCTTATAGAAAATACACATTCATTAAATCTCTGGTCAACAATTCACATAACTAAAATAAAATCTGCTGGTGTGTGAAGAGAGTATTCGTAAAATACATTGTATACGCAGTTGCACCCCTAACTTATAAATCTTTGGCACTGAAATACACAAAGTACTCGCATATGGTACTGGGAGCTGTATGCAATAAACATAAACTAGGACTACATTTAACTAGGCACTGGTTGTCTAAGACTAAGTCAAGGCAATGGTGTCCGAGATGGCTAACTAGGACGGCACTCAACGCTTATTTAACAACTAATGGCAGGAGACTGGCCGACTGTTAGTCCTGCTTCATGTCCTCGCTTATTGCCGTCGAGACTGTGGCCACACTCTCATCGGTTTGCGATTTTGGCACTATCTGTGCCTTCCGATTACCCGTCAGTAGTGGGGAGTTGTCCGGTGTACCGCAGGCGCTCTTCTCACACACCAGCGTCGAGGCCTTGGACTTTAGTTCCTCGGCGCTGGAGAATTGCGAACGACTCTTGTACTGTCCATTGCTCTTGCGCTGAGTTTTCAGATCGTATCGCCGGCTCTTGCACCACAACTGCTGCACCGGTGTCCAGCACATCAAAATGAGGCCGATGGCAAAGCAGAAGCCGGCAAAGATTTGGCCGGCCAGCAACATCATCGGCAGCAGCTTCAGTTGATCCGCCAGTTCCGGCGTAATGCGCACCTTCTGCTCGAACCAAATGAGCGGAAAGAATGTGCGCGGAATGTTCTCATACATGCTGAGCCCGTCGATGGGATCGACAAGCATGTTCACCTGAAACCGTGCCGCCACCTCCAGTGCGATGCCCGTGCGTGGTTCCAGCACCATGTAGAATTCGTGATCACGCTGATTGGGCGACAAACCCTCCACCTGATCCAAATAGTATTGATCGGCATTGTAAAAATGCGGATACGACATAAATACGGGCGAATCAAAGCGGCACGACGTAATGTTCATTACACCCGAAGGCACGCACTCGCCGCCGCAAAAGCACAGATTTTCAGGATATTCCGTACCTATAGGTGACATAGGAGTATGTTCAAAAGTTGTGAGAAGAGATCGAAGTGATTTCAATGCGTACCATTATCCACCGATCGTGGTCCACCGGCATATTTATAGCCTTGCACACCCTCTATTTCCAGCGTTTCCACATAGTCCAAAGGCACCGTGCGACACATATCGGGCGTGAAGAGTCCCACACTGCCACCCACTTGCAGGTTTTGAGGCTGAAACTCTCCGGCCGAGCCATTCGTCATGCCACAATAGGAGTCGAAGAAGCCCGTATGCTCCTTATAGTTCCACGTATGCATCTGACCCAGCTTGGCGAACTCATCCGCACCCGTATAGACATTGAAGACGCCCGTCAAATCTGCGCTGCCATTTCGCGTATAGAACCAACCGAACTTATCGAAAGGCACCTGCACTTCATCCCCAAAAATGGGCATGGCACGCGCCATGTCGATCATAGCATCATTGTAGCCCGTGAAGAGCAACTCATCGACGGATTTTATCACATATATTTCCTGGCCATATAGCTGGAGGCCCACATTCACCATGCCCCGACGCACTGAGTTCCATTGCTTGGCCTTGGCAGCTGCGGACTGGAAAAGGTTATGGGATTATTAATAACAAATCGGGAAAAATAAAAATTAAGCTCTAGCTGGAATTTACACAATTGTAAGTAGTACGCTGTATATTATAGATGTTGTATAACTCATCAACAATCGAAATAATTAATGGTTCCACTTTACTACGAGACTACATGATCAGCAGACGAAATAAATGATCTTATCAAAGCAAGAAGCAAGAAGGAAACTTCTCCGACCATATAAAGCATATACATTCTTAAACAGCATGATGAGAGAAATTACAAAGCTGCATTAATTAAGTTTGCATACGTATTTTATTTTTATTTAAATAATTGAGACTTGTGATATTGAAAAAATCAAAATAATTTTGATTTGTAATTAAAATTTTGAGACAATCTGTATTTTCTAGTTGACATCTCCATATAATATAAAACTCATCTTGAATTTCATAAAAATGTCTAACTTATAAATGAAGAACAAATAACTTTGCCTTTATTTTTTCTAAAATAGTTTCTTTCTAATTTATTTTTTTCTAAAAATATTCTTTCTGATTGAAGAACAAATAACTTTGCCTTTATTTTTTCTAAAATAGTTTCTTTCTCATTTATTTTATTCTAAAAATAATATTATTTCTGAGTGTGTGACGGAAAGGCTCGTTAGTTAGTTAGGAAAAGCTTGTTAGTTCTTTCTCATGATTAATATTTATGATATAATAAATTCTATTTATAATAAATTTGAAAGTTGTACCCGACCTTGGGCTTTCAAAATAAGTATGTACATTACTCACCAAAGCCACAGCATTGAGCGTTACAATCTGATCATCCAGAGATCCCACACTGCCCGCCTCATCAAAGTAGAAGAAGCTACGCTTGCGATAAGTGACTGAGGCATTGGCTGGATGCCAACTAATGTTGACCTTATCTGGGTTCTCGATGAAACGATAAGGGCCCAACTGCTCCAGTATGGGTTTGCTGGTCTCATTTCCAAAATCCTCGGCGTTCGTCCAATTGTATAAATAAATATCGAGCTTAAGCTCTAGGGGCGGCGTCTTCCAGTTCTCAAAGACGTGTGAGTCCGGTCGCAGCGTCATTTCCTGTGAAAATTAACGAACTTTAATTGAAAACTCTCGGCTAAGCACCCAAGTGTTCAAACCTTGACAGCAGATTGTGCCCACAATTGAAGAGGGCGATGGCGGCGTCTTTTGTGGCATTAGTTTAATTACAAATCCAAATGCCGCACGCCTCCCTCCCTGCAACAATGGTGCAAGTGCAATGCAGCTGAGGCCTGAGGCCTAACAACTGTTGCCATGCCACAATGTGCACGTGCAAGGCTTAATAAATTTGAATTACCTTTTGCATGATCCAATTGAATATGTCCTCCCAGAACATGCCGCACAGTATGCCAAATAGGCTGAGGCAAAAGCCAAATATGCCTATAATTAATTTTCGATTGTTGCGCTGACGCCATAATTTGTTGTTCTGCTGTGTGGGCATTATTATTGGCTCTGTACGATGAGGGAGTGAGTATATTATGGCTGTTGGCTATCTATGATGAGAGATGAAAGTAGAAACTGTTATGTGTATTATTCATTTAATCATACGTTGTAATGGAAACCGTATGATGCAGCTTAGGGCCTTATTACGCAGCTATAATTAGTAACATAATTGAGTTACTTTTCAATTCGCAGCAATAAATTCATTTTCTTGATCAATTCAGATAACAAATTTCACATGACACCCACACATATTTAGATTTAAAATGTATTGCATATTTTTAGGCTCAAAATATAATTTCGTTTGCAAACAATTTAACCAACAGATTTATATAAATTATAAATGTTGTTTTGTAATTAAGACTAAACACCTAGCTTAAGTTGTAGTTGTATTTTACTATGAGTTTAATTTAAGTTATAAACATAACAGTATAATTAAAAAAAGAAAAAACAATTTAATTCAATTAATCAATTGATTACTCCCGTTACTTTCTCATTTCAACGCTCTCTCAAAATGTTGATGCCTTTCGAATAGTGCTCCTTATCTAACTCCTTAAGTTTGGAAATTGCTAAAAGTCGCTGGGCAGCAATTTGTTGTCCAATTTAAGCAATTTTTCCATTTTCCGATTCGGATTTTGCACAGAATTTTGATGTAAAATAAACGGTTTCTTCATTAATAATGTTTAATAATCCAATAATGACACATACTGGACTACTCCACGAATTTTAAAAATAAAATAATATTCTTAAGAGTTTATTAAATGCTTAAATTCTGATGCCATCATCTATATCCTTATCTTTCCGGCTATCTCCAGAATCTCCAACCACTGACCACATAACTTGCTGGACTAGAGATTTCTCTTTTTATATTTCAATTTATTTTTAGTTTTATTATTTTAAGCTTTTAATTAATGCTAAGTTTCCTTTCTCCAATAAGTTTTTATTTAAAATGTATTATCATGACATTTTTGTGTGCTGGACTATGACATAACTAAATAAAACAACAACTATTTCGCTTGAAATAAATCGTAACTTTTTTAATTATATAATTCAATTATTTTATATTTAATCATCATGTAGTAGTAGTCTGCGGTAATTAAAACCATTTCAAATTATGAAAAAGATAATTAAGAAAACATAACAGAAAAATAACAATTTCAAAACAGAATCAAATTGTATAAAATTTATTATATTTTTAGCACAGCTCATTAATCAGACAACGATATGCGTAATTAGAGGCAGGCAGTAAGGGGAGGCGAGAGAGAGAGAAAGAGAGAGAGAGAGAATAAAACAAAACTGGAGAAAAAATGTGGCCAGTAATTTGGTTCTTGGGCTCATTGCAGAGGGACCATTAAGGAAGTTGAAGTCTTGTAATATAAAAAGAGATTGGTATTCAAATGCAGCGTGCGGAAGGAAACGCGATGTAAATGCTACCTAATGCCAGATGCATCAATATTATCAAACTTTTCGATGATATCATTGAACATGACCCATCTATTTCATAGGAACGAACGATTGTATCAACTAGATCATAATTGCTTTCAGCATCAATAAACGGTCGACGCTTTATTGAACGGCAATAGGCAGGTAAAAAAATTTGTTGTACGGCTTATCAATAAACATTTACATACTACTTACAAATACAAATTGGAAGTATGTCTCATACAATAAAATTCAAGCAAACACATACAGACATATCGCGTGTACTATGTGGATAGTTATATGCATATAGGAAAACGTGACTTTTAATTGTTTTCAATACTCATGTAGGCTAATTGAAACTAAGCCATATCGGTGATTATTATAACACTCCATATAACACTCTCAATTAGCGCACATGCAAGCAAACTATATGTTATCTGTGTATCTGATACAAACGACTTATATTATACAGCCACGCCCACTCTTTGAGCTAATATTCTCACAGCAGTGTTATGTAGTTCGGCTTAAAATTGCTCAGCCTTATGATAATAAATTCATATAGAGTTCAAGGGCTGATACGGCTGTAACGCTGCCCATCAATCGCTGATTGATAACCGTACTTTGAACTTGATATGTCGCTTAACTTGGTCTAGGTGAAGAGACCCGTGAAGAGCAGATAGGAGCGATAGCCAGCAATGAGGAAAAGTATTTAAAATGTATTTTAAACACACCTACTAGGTTCTACACAGTGGAGACGGAGTGCCCCGAAACAATTACTTGTATTTAAAACAATTTCTAGTGATCGCGTGTCCATCTATTTGTGAGTGCAAAAATGTCGGTACAAAAGAGTCTGTGAGCGCACGCTATATACTATAACATATCGCAGTGATATATAGCATAATTGAGTCTATCAATTGACCCCACATGAGCTGTGCCACGACAGTGTGGGTCTTTGACACTTCTTCGTGCTTTATTTATGAATACAAGTGCTATACTTGTATGTCCCCACACATACACTAAACGACATGCCTGTTGTTGCGTATAGATTGGCGTTTCAAAAATGTTTATTAAATTGATATGAGCTTTGTCTCTTTTGATGATGAATTGCCGTGTCTCGTGTGCCGGCAACATGGGCATGAGAATTGGCGGCATTTGCCGGCAACACAAAGAGACGCTCCGTCATTCGATCACTGTTGCTATTATTGCGGCCGATTTTTAAGTTCGAATGCCAAATAGGTGAACGTTCTAAGAATAGTGGTGGCAGGTGATCTTAAAGTTGGAAGACGCTGAGCAGAGGTTATGACATGCCTTCAATCATTTGTCTGTTTGACTATATGAACGCCTCGAAAGTATGCTTACTATAAACCCTAAGCTTTGTGTGAGGTTTCCTTGAATAAGTTTTTATATGGGCTTACTCTTTTGTTAGTTTGTCTGCTATAGACTCTGAAATTTTTGCGAGGATTTCTCTACACTCATACTTATATATAAAATTTATAATAATTTAGAAAGTAGTTAATTCTTTAAATTAATTTTTAGCAGAACAGTTTGATTCGTTCATCGGATGTCATGTAAGCTTTAGCTGCCTAATTATTAAAGAACGAATATTTGTATTGTTTTTCTCATTCACAGAAATTTGCATATATTTGAGAGACAAGTTGGACTTTGGCATTTACTAAAAATATACTAAATTCCAGCGTTAGTCAGAGCTTTTAATTGCAATCAAGAGCATTTTATACACTAGTGAACAAATAATAATGAAAGATATTCACATAACACTAATTGGTTTCAATTAAGCTTTATTTTTTCAATGTTCCATGACATTTTTGCGAAACAAAATTATTTTATTCATCGCAGAGAAGCTCGCTTTCATTGTTAACAGAGGGAGAGAATAAAAATAAATGAGAGCAGACACGTATAATATGATTATTTAATTAAGAATCTGACTTTCGTACCGACTGCTGATGCCCTCGTCCTTTTATTACAGTCTTATCACTTTATTCGAGTAAATAAGAGTATGTGTTTATATATAAGGTATGACAAAGGACAGTTGGCCAGTCCCCAAAAGGGGGCAATAGCAGCGAGCAGCAGAAGCCGATGGAGTCATGGAGGTTAACAGAGAAAGAGCAAAATAGTCGCAATTTGTAAGACAGTAACTGCTTTTGAAAAGAAAGAAGAAAGTAAGCGAACGTGCCTGAAGAATGAAAACGAAAGTAGCTCATTCCCAGAAAGTAAGTACAAGTGGTCGACAATGCAAGATCGAGAACGAAAAAGCACTCATAAATGATAGTAAAACAAATAATTTAAAGTGCAACAAAGTAAGAAAATAAACAAACTAAGTAAATAAATGATTACAAAATGTATTAAGGCGGCTAGTTAGCGAAAGTGTTTAGTTTTTTGATAAGTTGTTGAGACTTCTTACTCATAGTTTTATGGCTCTTCAGATAATAATAGAAAGGGCCCAAAAATCAACCAGACTTTGAGCCTACGGAAAAATAGTAATTATAAGTTGTATCTGACAAATAACAATAACAATAACAAAAATGTAGAAAAGGAACAAATTTATAGAAAAGAGGATCAGAAAACGGAGAAAGCTGTAGATCAAGCTGGCAAAAAATACATTAATTGTTGTAAGCTCGCTTTAAAAACCCCACCTTAGAGGAAGAATAGGGGGATAAGTAGAAGGTTTACTACAACATCTTTTAATTCATTTTTTGTTTTTTTCGTTTTAAATATTATTTATTTTTATTTATTTATTTATATTTGACTAAGAGCTTGCTACTCTACAAAATTATGTTAAAAGATGAAAAGTTAACTGAACTTCACATTTTGTTTACTAATTTCTGAAATCATTTCTACTTTTCTTTCCGTGTGGGAGACTACAAATACATATACAATTTTTAATATATACTTGATTAAGAGTTCGGGTAACAAATTCAAGCTAGCCCCATCATTTTATTTAAAAGTTAGGGTAACAAAATCAAGCTAGCCTCCTCATTTTATTTAAGTAGAATATTACTTGTATAATTATTTAAATCATGAAATAGTAATTTCTAATCTTTAACTTTGGATTTGTGAACATAAGTAGTTCACTATTTGTAAGAAAATGTTATGTTTGCAAAACTAATTCTTTTACACGTTTCCAGAACTAAATAAATATTCTTCTGTGCACTAAACTATAGTCGTTTCGATGCAAAAGACTTGCACACACTATATACAAGCATACTAAATAAATGCTATACTCAGATATATTCGAAGTGCTTTGGGAACAAAAAAAAAAAAAAACGCAATGACGCGTCTGGTTATTTATCGTTATCGCAGTTGTTGTGATGGGTGCAAGCCAATTGAACTTGCCTGCCTATTATCAACAATTTAAAGGGACTTTGACTACGGTCTACATTACATTACGTACATAACTTACTAAGAGATGACATCGACTGTTTTGAGGTCTCCAGCGAATGTTCAGGAAAGCTGATACTACTAAGTATATACTATACATTTACTCTCTATATCCATACATTTTTCGTACTCGTACGTATTTATTTGTTACATATGGCTGCTATTAAATAACACACTGCAATTTTTCAGACATATTAGAGACGATTACGAAGGCCTTTGTTACACTGTGAAGGTGCTATGACAATATCAATTAACCGCAAACAGGGCGATGAGCAACCGCAGTATCTTGGGCTTGAGATTTTTTGACGCCTCGTTATGCGCAGTTTTAGAAAAAACAGTTTATTTAATGAAAGCTTAGATCCAAGCGAATAAAACTTTTAAGGGTTGACTTGAAAGGAATTTAAAGTTTTGCTTAAATTTCTGTCGCATGATTTCTAATAAGTTCCTTAAGGGATACAAAATGGTCGATTCTTGAAAAATTATAAGATGCAATGCAGAACTCGTGATTACTTTAAAAAAAAGTCAAAAAAGTGAACGGATTTTGTCAAAAATCAGCCATAATCTTGGGTGAAATTAATGGTATTGAAATTTAATTTGGATATATTAAATTTGAATACCATTAATCAACAATGTTAGGCATTTGAACAGAAAAATTGGGTCTGAGAAATGTGTGTTCTGGCTTAGTTCCGCACAACTTGACTTTCAACTATCAATATGTATTTATTTTTGTGATAAAAAAAATCTCAATTTTAAAATCAACCACTTCCCAGATGCACCTGATTTATTCCCCTTTCGTCGAATTGTATTTATGCACCCCTGAAAGGAAAGCACTATAATAACATCGAAGCCATTCAAAAAGCTCACACCACCATTTTGATGGCCGTTTTGAAGGACATCTTTTGTGTTGTGAATCTAAATATAACAGGAAAGCAAATAAAATTCACCTCAACGTGTCGGCTTCATTATTAGATATGCGCTTATAAATTTTCTTTTACAACTCTTTCTTGTTTTCAATCGTCAGCTTGTCTGGTCGGCACAGAAAAAAGTAAGCAGTTGGCTATTAGTTGGCCATTAAATATAAAAAGTGTTAACGTCTAGGTTCATCCTGCCTTGCAAAAGACCTCAATTATCAATCTGGAGGTATGGAGTATGGAGTCCAGATTTGGAAAGAGGTATGGGGTCCAGATTTGGGTCCAGAATGGCTGCAGCTTTGAACAACAAACCTATTCACTATCCCACAAACTCATCAAAACAGACCAGCCAGGCTGCTAGCACAATTTTAATAATCTGATTAAAAAGGCGGAGCTAAGCCCTCCTACCTAAGCATTATATGTGGCATATAATTTTTTAATAGAGTATTGCCTTGTGATTAAGTCTCTGAAGGTACGTCAACAGCTGGGTAATGGCCAATTCTCAAATAAATATCAACTTGTAATTAATTTCCTGCTTTAATAGTAGTTGAACCGGTAATTGTTATTCAAATAACATCGATGCATCAGCACTAGAAAATGGGCATTATACGATGCTGTAATATTTGATTGTTGAGGCAGTCATCGTTTTCAATTATTTACTCGTAAATTAGTATGTTGAATTATCAATTTATTAATGATTTTATTGTCATACGTGCTTCAGCAATTGACAATATTGAACGTGCAATTTTAGAGCCGCATAACAAGTATACGCCCCTTATTACCGTTCAATAGTGTCGATGGCGATATTTATAAATCGTCTGACAATGCAGCTACACGCAAATCCAATTACTAAGATGAGAAGTAAGAAACTACTTCTTAACAATTAAGTTATTCGAATAGGTATTCTATTCTACTTGTAAATGCATTGACGACGAGCTCATGTGTAAACATCCACAGTGAGAACAATTGGAATTTCGAGTTGTTGAAATGAATTGTTTCGCATAAATTGACAATAACTGCGAGCTTGGAAGTCACTTGACATAACATATAATTATTTAGAAGCTGTTGAGAGTATGAAGCCATCAACAACAACAACAACAACAACAACAACTACAACAACAATAGAGCCAAGAGATTGAAAGGGACGAATACTAAAAACCTGTTGCTCTATTCCATCAAGCTTCAAGGCATATTAATTTTATGCTCTTATGGAATAAAAATCAAATCGTGCTAATAGACTGAGCTGTGTGGGTGGGTGAGATTGCCTATCAAGTTACAATGGCATCCAACTGCAAGGCGAGCGGGCCTCTTTTTTCGATTGTTTTAAGTAAACATAATCCATGTAGGTATACACCCGATATAGATATGTACATACTCGTATGTTTGTGTTTATGAATGCCAATAGATTGTGCACGCATGGCTACTGTTATTGTTTGTTTTAAGGCGTACAAATGTAGGAAACACAAACAAGCGGCGTCGAGACTGCCAATCGATCGATTAACCAATTTATTTTTTATTCCACCAACAACAACAGCTCTTGTAATCTTAATACATAAGTCTGCTTGCGATTAAGAATTGTATATTGAATGCGTGCACTTAATACGGGCATTCCATATGAAAAATATTGTGACTGGTTGCCTGATTAGCAAAACAAATAATATGGTGTTCGCTCTAAGAAGAGTAAAGAAATGAAAACCTGAGAATATTAGTTACACACTTCAGAACAAGACAGCAATTAAATGAAACTAAAACATATTTGTCAAAAAAACTGCAGCTAATCATATTTGTTCTGCTCGATGAACCGAAGAATTTTAAATTATTAAATTAATAAATTGTACAATTAAATTAGTTAGCTAAGCGTTGCAAAGTAAAGCTTTAACAAATTGTGATGTTCAAACTTTTGCATTTATAAAAAGTATTTACAGACTATATTTTCAGTTTAAAAATGGAAAAAATAAATATAAAGAATGAACAGTTTTTTAAATATTTTATGAAGTTTTGGAGGACTTTGTTTAATTATTGAGTATAGAAAGTATCAAGATATATGTTTACAAGTTTTTTTCATTCACAGCTTTAAAAAACTATTTGTCAGTAAAGATTACAACAAAAGACACACACAATTTTACAAAACTGTTTTGCAGAAAAGCTGACAAATAAACGTAAATAAAGAATTCGTATTTTTCTTTAATTGAACACTTTTGTGTAACGCTTTTGTTGGAAATATTTAAATTTTATTATTTGCCATTTTTTGTAAAGCTTTCATTTTGAATATTTGCAGTCGAAGAAATGGTTTGAATATCTCAGCCGAAATGGGGAATATTTTCAACTATAATTTTTTTCAGTTGTTGCTTGATTTGTTTGATCGAGCAGGCAGAAGCTAAAGTTTTCAATTAAAAGCACATTTTCTGCTTTATTTTTGCAAAAGAGAAATCAGTTTTTGCGGTTTTAGCTGAGCGTATTTCTTGCCATGTACTTGTGTAGTATAAAGAAATAAGGAGATTTAAAAACTCGTGCAACTGAATTTGAAGTTTGGGGGATTTATTTGTGAATAAAGGTTGTATTATGTCAGCTAATTGACATAAGTAATGAGTTTGGCTATGTTTGGAGAATTGTTCAAAAAGTTTGTAAAATTATTGACTCGTATTTCTTATATCGCATTAAATAGGTGCATATTATTAACTCGAAAATCTATATAAATTTCACACAAATTGTAAGCACTTTTAGCAAATTTTCTTTGTTTCACTGCATTTAATTTTAAAGTATTTTATTGAGTTAGAATTCCTATTATTGCTTATGATTTTTCAATTGAAAGATAACTGCTTGAATTACAAACGATTTCTTCTCTGAACTCACAGACTGGCTTTATTATTGTATGCTACTCCTGTGAGATCAGGATATATGCACTGATTGGATAATAAGGCGTAGCCTTCTCTACAAAATCCGTAACGCGACACTTTTCTGAAATTCCCGTTGTACGCGCAACGAGCAAAATAATTTGCGTGTGTACCGTTACTCGCCAAAGCTCGATTACGACTGTGACGAGCGGACTGGCTGGCTGAATGAGCAGCCGCCGCCGCTGCTGCCTTTGCCGATGCCTGTCTGCCGGCTGACGCTACGGCGTTTGTTCTTACTACATTCATACATATATGTACATATATACACATATGCACATACATACACATATGTACATATACATATATGGATGTACTTGTACATGTATGTATACACACATATTTTAGTTATGGAATGTAAGACGAGCGGGCGGAAAATCTGAATATGAAAATGCCACAATAAGCTTGTGTCTGCCTCTGTGTGAGTGTGTGTGTGTGTGTGTGTCTGTGTTTGTTTGCATTAATTTGCGCTTTAATTTTGTGTGTTTTTGCGGTAAAGTGTGTATAAAGAAGAGAGGGAGAGAGAGACACCCACACCCACACAGAGAGACTCCAAATGATGATGATTGTCATTGAAATTTGAATTAAACTAAATGCTTGTGATATGGCCGAGCAGTGCTTCCAAAACTGTGCAATGCCTTACACACACACATGCATGTGTTTGTGTTTGTATTTGTATTTGCATGTATATGTATGTCAGACAGAGCGCAGTTTAAATCTTAAACAAAACTGATTAAACACACAACACATTTGCAATTGACGCCACTACTTTCTTGTTGTTGTTGTTGTTGTTGCTCTTGTAACTGACTGACTGTCTGACTGACGGACTGACAATCTGGATCACTTGTTACAAAGCACTTACATATGTACTTATTATCAGCAGCGCGACGACACGATGGCGTGCAAAAACTGATTTATTTATGCTAAGTATGTAACATTCATCGCGATTGCATTTCACATTTTAAAGGTGCATATGGATGTACTTGCACTTATACTCGTATTTAAACAAAATAATAAATAAAAAAATAATAAAAAGGCGCTGCTGATAACGATTTAGCGCTTGTCGGCTTATCAAGACAGCTAATCGAAGTGGTTAACAAGTTGCGCGAGCATTTGGAACAATCAAACGCAGCGGTGTAGCCAAACAAATGACAATAATACCTAACCATACAACTATATAGTACATAGTATGTATGTAAATATCTGATATAAATAGCGTCAATTTTTTGCACATCGCAAACACATTTGAAGCGTACAATAAATATTTAGTAGAACTTATCGTCCAAATCACCACCCACGGCGCAGTGGCTGAGGCAATAAAACAATAAAATGTCGTTGCACTGAGGCGAAAATGCTTCTAGTTTTCGTGCCCATGCGGCTTATTGGATTATGAGTGTGTTCCATTTGTGTGTGTGTGCGTGCGTGTGTGTGTGTGTGTGTGTGTATGGATTAGTGGTGGTAATACTGACGCCTACAACTGAACGTTAGCAGATTATGTTGCATTCGTAATTGGGTCGCGGAAATTGGAGCACTTAGTCTGTTTGCGTTTCAAATCGAATACGTTACTGTCTCTCGGATCAGTGTTGAACAATGCACGCACGAAATCGATAGCAGGTGTACGAACGTCTCCCACGCACCTCATAACAATGGCGTTGTCAGAGCATGGCTGAGCTGCCAGATGTGGCAATAAAGACTATTATGTTTATGCAAATAACAGTAACAGTAGTTTGGAACCTCAAATGGCAACTTTTCACGCTTTTATGTTCGCTCAAGAATAACATTCAAAGCTCAAAACTTTAAATTGATCGTGTTGTGCAAAATAAGAGTATTTCTCTAATTGATTTCAGTAACAGAGTGTGAAGAAATTCTTCCTCTCTTGATATAATTACTCTATTTTAAAATTTTAAGCTTTTCAGCTCATCTATTTCGACCCTAATTAATTTTAAAGTGGGTCTAATTGAGCATGGCCTAGTTTATGTGAAACTATCTACATTATCAGAATGTTTTTTTAAAATTAGGCAGAATATTGCATTACGTTTGAATTTCGAAAAACTTTCTGGTACAAAAGAATTGATAAAGCTTCTCAGATATTTGTGAAATACATACCAATTTTAATAAAAAGATAATGTAATCAACAATCAGGACGAAAACATTATGAAATTTGCTTCCCTAATCGCATGAGGGCAAGGCCAGGCATTGTGCGCTTGAGCTGGGTAGAAACTTTTAAAATGTAATTTATAATAATTGCTGTCTTTATAGTCAGTGACTATTAGTCACCCATTGTTTTCTCAAAGAACTTAGAACTGCAGATATGAGATGTGACGATGAAACATACGTGTACAGTAAAAAGAATCCTTATATCGAGACAACCATTTCGAATGCAACTGAAAAACAAGCCAAAAGGACAAATACTATATTCTTAAAATAGTTTAAAAAAAGTGATTATAAAACGTCTGGCTGGAAAGGGAAATAAGACCGTTTTCTACATTACAACAAAAAGGACTATCATGTCAAGTTGTTGTCAGTTTTCAATGAGAAGACAGCTTACAAAACTATGAAGATGATCCAACATAAGTGCTTATAATACGAATAAGAATGTATGTAGACTTCCTAAAAAGGGCCGACTGGATTTCAATTATTCCACAGCTACTTAAGTGGCCTCGCATCCAATACTAACTTTAACTAACCTTAATTAAAAAGATGGACTAAAAAAATTTTAAATTATATTAAAAACCCATACAAATTTGTTTATTAGTTCCTTGTAGTTTGTTTATAATTGTATCTGCATTTCGCTGACGAATTGCAGAAAAATTTCGAAACGCCTGACATTTCTCACTACTATTTATTGTATGTATGATAAAAAGCAGTCAACCGGAAGGCATGGTATACATATATACGTACATATACAAGTATATTTGTATCTAAATTAATTTAGAAAAAAATCATGTGTTGTATTAGCCTCGCCAGATTCCTCCATGTGGTGTGTCGCGCGGAATTGAATCAGAATAATTAGATAGCAGGTTGCAGCGCCAGTGATCTGTATTGAATGAGCACTTTTAATTCTTTAGCCATATAGTTGTATTGATTGTTTGCTACTCACAGTGAAAATAAGCGTACGATCCAAGCGGAAGAGACCCGCAGCTGTGAAGTTCACCCGACGATGGGATAATTGCAAGGATAGGCGAAACAGGCGATCCCTCAACTCTGGCTCATCGGTTATATTCAAAATCTTGTGCACTATGGCGGCACTATGGCTGCTCTCCTTGATCGTTCTGCCACTGGCCTCCACAATCAGAAATATGATGACGACATACCACAGCATCTGCTGTAGAAAGAAAGCAAAAAACTCGTCCGCCTCAAACACTTCCAGCCGCTTTGGATTCAGAAGCACTTCCAGTATATAGAAATCGTCGAAAAGGATGAACAAAAAGGAAATGGCTATAATCGCCAGCAGTGGATATGTGAAATACTCCTCGATCTTGTGGCAAATATCGCAGAGCAGATTGTGTATATTGGAGACCTGCTTTATGGCATATTCCGGATTCTGGCGTATAATCGATGTGACACTATAGCGCTGCATGGGCATGCTGATGAAGCTGCGGACACGGTGCACATATCGTTCATTGACCACCGAATGCATCGGCGATAATTCCAGGGAGCTGCGTTGTTCAATATGAGCATCGAGCACATCCTGTAAGATCTGCAAAATTGCAGATATATATAATAAAGAAATATACTTGTAATCCATATGTTACATCAACTAAAAACAATTAGCAGCGAAACTTTAGAGTTAAGATTCAAGCAGACTTAAAAAACATTATCTAAATTAACATTACCTAAAACTTAATATTAACCACGCACTTAGTTTAGTAGGCAAAATAAAATTAAGAATAAAACTGATTTGACAAAATTAAAAATATTTATAATAATTATAAAGATTAATAAAAATGTTTATTGTTGAAAATAAAATTAATAATAAGAAAATAACCTAATAATAAGCTCAATATAATTAAATTTGTAATGACTAGCGTAATAATTTAAAAGTAATCCAATACTTGTAACGCTAGGAGACGGCTTATAAATAAATAAATATTCTTGACTGCACTTTATTTTGTATTCTTCACTAACAAAGATAAATTTTGTCTGAATAGAGCAGACCATTATACCATTTATTCTTTATATGAAAAATAGAGTTGCTGTTGATCAAAATATCAGTTAGCATTAATAACATTCTGGATCGTTTAGTCTTTTTTATACCTGTACTCAAAGGGTAAAAGGGCATAAGAGAAGGGCAGTCCCCGCATAGTGTATATATTCCTGATCAGCATGACAGGACGAGTCAATATACAAATGTTCGTCTGTCCGTACGTCTGTCTGTATGAACGCATAAATTCCAGAAAGTATAATAGCTATAATAACCAAACCTGGTATGCAGATTCTCCAAAGCTCTAGGATGGACTAGTTTGTGTTTTTTCTGATGCACGCCTCCACTTATCTTTTATAAGTCATTTCCATAACTCCGCTAATTCTTGGAATTTTTTACATTCCTATGTGTGCGTGTAAACAGTTTAATTCTTCAGTTAGTACTAGCGATAAGTGTTATCTCTGCCCAAGCTTTGCCTGCAGCTGCTTTTGTTGTTGTTGCTGCTTTGGCTTAACTGTGTACTGCAGACATACACACACAGATACACGCAGAGATACACAGGACATTAAGAATTGATCGTGCTTGATTCTAGCATTCCATTCCCATTTCTCAATACATATCTGTTCCAAATTGTGAAAAGAAACCACAACTTCTTGACTCGTAATACCACGTAATACTTACCTCGTTCAGCATGCCGAACCGGCTCTTGGCCAAATGCGTGGTGCACAGAAACTTGAAGACCATGAAGCTGATGTTAATGTGTGGCAAAGCAAAGGTGGTAAAGGTCACAAATGAGGGCGATATCATGGCACTGAGCAGGAGGCAATAGCTCACACACAAATAGACGACATTGAAGAGCAGCATGCCCAGCGAGATGAGGAAGCTGAAGAGTAGGATGCGACGATAGTTCAACTTCATGCCGAGCCGCACGAAAATCTCATCCACAACAATGTTATTCTGTATAATGTTCACAAGGCGCTGGCGCTTGAATAATGCAAAGCCAAAGATCGTGGACATGGCTATGATGCCCGTCAGCCGGAGAGTTCCATCGCCCAGCTTGGTGATGTTCGTTTGAAAGAAATAGCCGATAATCGAGTCTCCCTCGCAGACGGACATGGCGAAGCACAGCACAAAGAACAGGAAATGGACAATGCCGGCGACAAACGAGAAAACCGATGTATGCACCTCCTTGTCCGAGTTCAAACGAAATGGAGCCAGACCCAGGAGCGAGATGTAGGTCAGAGGACGTAACGACTGAAAAACATTATCCGCCTGGGAGATGCGTTCCCACAGCTTGAGAGCCATACTGCTGGGGTTCCTTTGCTGCTTCGTGGTCAAGGTTAAAACGGAAAACGTCTGCTCGACTCGTGTGCTCTCACGCAACTGGCAACGGAAGTGGACTCCAGTGACGCCCCTAGCCGACTGGTTCGTATATCAAAATCGTTGAGGCGCAATAAAATGGAGACGGTTGTAAACGGCAGTCGAACACACCTTCACACACTTGCCGCAAATGGTGGCAGCATAATACACAAATATCAATAGCAGCAAATATTTAATTAAGCTTAAGGCCCGCGGCAAGGTCATCAGCGAAAGTGTGGCCCCCGAACCACCGAGACTCGCAATTCCCGCTAAGTGAGCAATTGTTGTGAGGATACAGTTAATAGGTACGTGGATAAGTGTGTGATGTACGGCTACTAACAGAGCTGAAGCTCTCAATGGGTGTCCAGTACGAACCTGACACCTGTTGTATATCCTGCGAGAGTGCCCGTACCCGTGCCACTGCCTTTTGCTTGCATTTCATCACAATCAGCAAACAATTTAAGTTGAGCTAAAGAGCTTGACGCCCACACGCGAGGTCCTTGACAACGCAATGGCTTAAAAAGAAACGTTAAAAAATATATATATTAAAGCACAGTGTAGCCAATAAAAGTTTTCCTGGTAACACTAATCAGTTGTCGGGGATACCAGCTAAGTAGCTATTGATCCATCGAAAAAATATAAACTTGGCATTTATCTATATTTTATATCTTGCGAGATAATTGTGTTCATACAGACAGACACATGAACAGATGACTAGTCGCCTGAGTTGATTAACATTATAAAACCAGTCGTATTTTAATATTATTATCGAAAAAATATAAACTTGACCTTTATCTATCTTCTATATCTTGCGAGATAAATGTGTTCGTACAGCACTGATGATTAGTCGGCTAAGATGATTAACATTATAAAACCAGTCGTTTATATTAAAAAATTGTTTCATATTTGTATTTAATTAAATATAAATAGTCTTTACAAATATTAGTAGACCTATACTGCGACACTAATTATAAATTGAACCTAAAACAAAACAATGCTAATGCGCATAAAACAATGCCAATTTATGCAATAAATATATATAAATATGGTTGTTTTGTAATCGAATAGCTATTAAGCACTAGCCGAGTCCAAATTAATTCAAATTCCGAACACTTCTCATATGACTAATTAGCAGTATTTTAATTACGAAGTCAGTTCATATTCAAATCAACAAGAACATAAGGAGTCTAATCAAAGATTAACAACCAATTACATACTTGTATGTACATATCCTTTACCCTCCTGCTCATCCATATATTCTTACCCTCGTCTGTAACCTTGCCAACGCCTGTCTATCACTTCCGGCTTGACGCGCCATTCCATGGCTCGTGCTTTGTTTGTCTGCCGCCAGTAATTTCATTTTTACGATTATCAATTTATTGCTAATAATAAATTTATAACCAGACAATACACTCAAAAGCGACAACATCGAAAAAAACTCATTACTATTTGCTAACAATACACGTGCACCCAGTTGGACGTATAGAATTTCAGGCAGCATCGCAGAGCAGCGCTGCCCCAACCTTAACCTCAATCTCCAGCACAGGACTCAGTCCACTGAGCAGCTTGTTGACGGAATCGCCTAAAGCGTTTGATTCGCCGCCTGATGCGTAGAATTATGCGCCTCGCAGCAGTTGGAGTGGTGGCCGGGCGAATTGGATGTGAACTGCAGCAATATAATTAAGTATGTGGTGAGGGCGCCGCTAATCTGAAACAGATACATAAATTATACGCATTACATTGGAGCTGTGAGGGTTGCCAGATGACTGAACAATTAGGGCTTAGGCCATGGTCAGACAGGCAAATAATTTGTCCTTACTCAGACTAAATTCGTTTCGTTTTTCAAATGTAATATAAAGCTAGTTATATTTCAATTTAAAATATAATAAGATTATTCGTAAATGGACTTTCTCTAATAGAAGAAATCTGTTTACTCTGATAAATAAATGTTTATATAAATTTAAAAACATTTTTAACTTTTAATAATCGATTAAAAGCAATTATCGAAAATGCAGCCCTGTTTAGCTTAAGGATTTGATCCCTTTATCAAGTTTCCTTTTATTCTTTGTACTACATTTTATTAAATGTATTAAATTGTATTGTATTATATGTTTTTTCAATGTTTTTTCGCTTTTGGCGGAAATTGTAAAATTGTATTATTGTATTTATATTTATATTGATGAAGATATTCAAATTTATTTGCAATTGTGAATTTGAAGATATCTTAATAGAAGAGCAAATTGAATTGAGGAGTTATAAATAACACTTAATTGTTAAAATTTCAATATTTTGTATTAATTAGGGCTTTTGAAATGACTAATGATCCTTCACCTTCATTCGTTACAATAAAAACGAAGTCATTGAAGCCTGAACTAACTACTATTTTAATAATTCTCAAAGCAGCAATCAGTATATTACAGAATCCACAAATTCGAAAGTAAATCTCCTTCTCTGCCCTCTCCTGACTTCTTTTTCGTGTTTTTACTAATATTTGTTCTCATAATAATTCCTTTTCTCACTCAACTATGTCTACTTTATAATTTTAGTTCTTTAATATCTTAATATTCTCCTTAATATAAGTAGTTGCATTGTTTTAAATAATCGAAAAATGTATTTGATATATCGAATAATAAAAGGGTTTAAGTAATCAATTGCTATAAGGACTCAACACTTACCGTAAAGTACAAGGTGCGATCAATATTGAACAGACCAGCTGCGGTGAAATTGATCTTAAGGTGCATTATCTGCATGGAGAATTGTTGTAGCTTCTCCTTGACCTCGGGACTCTTGGCTTTGTTCAGCAGGGAGTGCACAATGCCACCAGTTTTCTCACTCTTCTTGATGGCCCGATTGCTGCCCTCCACAATCGAGACGATGGCAATCAAATAAAGGATCATTTGGCAAGAGAAGAACGTGACAAACTCGACAGTTTTGAACTTGCTCTCGCGCTTCGATTTGCCCAAAAGGGTCTCCAGCACATAGTAGGCATCGAAGACAATGATGAGGAAAGCAATCGATATGATGGTCAATAGTTGGTAGGTGAAGTACTTGTTAGCCGTGGCAGCAGCCTCGCAAATCAGATGATGAATTTCCATGGACTCTTGAATTATTTCAGCCGGATCTTTGGTTACAATCGTGTACATGGAGAAGGAGTCCAGACATTGCAGGGACCGTTGCTTCTGCACGGCCTTTATGCTGCGCGAGTCCCATTGATTTGCCAGATTCTTCAACACCTGCAAGAGAAGAGCGTATAACGGGGCGTATGAGTAATGTGTGAAAATACAAATTAGTAGTTTCTTCGAAAACGACCTCATTCAGTGCAGTTATATAAATGCACAGCTTGACCATTATACCACCAAAGAGCATTGCCCCAGCACAGACTAGGAAGTGGGCTGAAAAGAAGCTGCTGGCCGCTGGCAGAGATACGGACACTTCGTTGCGCGTGAAAATTTTGGCAAAGCTCACAGTTACGTATACCACTGTTGGGCCCAAGAGCAGTACATTCAATCTATTGATTTTCCATGCTGCATGCGACTGGATAAAGCCTATGCCCACACTTGGAAAAGCCTCCCTCTCCAGATCAGCAAACTGTTCCAACAAGTGCGGAAAGTGCCGCCGCATCAGCAGCGAGCTCAATAGCACGGCGAGCACTCCAAACATGCCATTAAATTTCTGCAAGCCATCCGTAATTCTCGAAACATCGGTTATAAAAAAGTTGGACAATAGCGTGTGCTCATCCATAGTACTATAGATGAAGTTGAATGTGTAGAGGAGCATTCGGATCAGGATGTTCAAGAAGCCAAAAATTGAACCTCGTAGACCACTTTTCGGCCGTGTCGTCACCAAATAGGGCACAATGCCTAGTCCAAAGACTAGCCATAAAGTCAGGCGATAGCACGTATAGACGTCGGACGGACGCGCTAAGCCAACCAGACACTTCGGTAGCCACATGACAATTAATATTTTTCTATGAAAGGTTAGTGTTGCTTGTTTAGTCGCGATTAAGATCCGCTTGTCAAGTGTATTAACCTAATTAAATATTGTGTATTGGCCATGATACGAATATTTATAGCGAAGTAGAAAAACTAGCTAATTATAGCAGAGAATGATGATCTAATAGACCTAACGAGCCTTACACTTGAACACTTTTTTTAATAAATACAAATAAAATATTTTTTACACCAAATAAAAAATTGAAAAAATTTAGCTTTTTCTACAAGTATTTGTTTTCTTACTATATAAATACCCAAATTTTATGCAAATAATCAAAGATTGATTACTGTTTTAGAAAACTACAATAAACAGATGAACGAGAGACGGAAATAGCTTCATGATCTTAAATTATCTTAGGAGTATGGGATGACATGAAGGTGGAATTATTTAACTGGAGGAAAGTCCAATTCTTTCTACGAATTCTCAGTCTACCTTTTTGCAATGACAAGTAAATGTTCAGTAGCTTTTATTACGTTTTAACAATATAATATGTTAATAGCTTAGAGATCGACAAAAGCCCTTCAGCTCTACCTTTCCGTAACCGTTGCTTGCTTGCAAACATAATGGCATATTAAAGCTCACCATGAGTTTTGAAGATAAAATGTCGAATTATAATTTTTCAGAGTATCAGAATTTGGATTTTAGCAGCCACTGAATTGAAAACTAAAATAAAAAATTAGTTATAATTCAGTATTTTAAAAAGTTTTCTTACAACAATGTTGATACTGTCAGGTTTAAATTCTAAAAGCGTTAATCTCTGTTGAAATATTTTTGTTTTAAACCATTTTTAAACTATTTCCAGCATATGTTTTTTGATCAAGTATTATCCGGTAAATATAATGGCATATTAAAGCTCATCGTGAGTTTTGGAGATAAAATGTCAAATAATAATAATAATAAATAATCAAATAATTTTTCAGAGTATCAGAATATGAATTTTGGCAGCCACTGAATTCAAAACTAAAATAAAAAAGTAGTTACAGTGTTCAGTTCAGTATTTTAAAAAGTTTTCTTTCAACAATTTTGATACTTTCGGGCTTAAATTCTAAAAGCGTTAATCTCTCTTGAAATAATTTTGTTTATTTAAACTAAAGCTATCAGCTATTATCAGGTAGTGTTAATTCGAAAGATATTTACAGCACGAATAAAAGTGAATCAAATGGTTTGATAGATTGTTATCAGATATTTAACCTTAATTATCGTAAGTCTCTGAGAGAGAGGATTCGATAAATAAAGTAAGCTATCAAAAAAAGATATTTAACCGATTGATGTGTTTTACATACTCTTCTCTATTTCAAGCGAGCACTAGTGTGAAGAAGCTGCAATAACACAGATCGATTGTTGTTTACCTGCAGCCGGATTAAGAGGTTAAAATGTACCTGCCTTGTTAAGAGCACTGAAGTGCTGCCAGCAGCGCATGAGGAGGGCACAGAAGAGCAGCACAATGCTGAGCAGAAAGAATTGTGGCACAAAGAAGGCGACTGCAGCGGGCATGCCGGGATGAAAGTCATTATTGAGCAGCATGTAGATGCTGCTGAGCAGATAGGCCAACTGAACGGTCAGGATCAGGAACAGCTTGGTGTGTCGCACACGCATGATGTGCGGATAGTTGAAGCATATGCCCAGATCGAGCAAGGAGTTGTCAATCTTTGCCACCAGATCGTAGAGGTGAATGAGTCGCCGGACCCGAAGACAGCTGCACACGAACAGCGTCAACATGCCCGTCATGCCGATGAATTTTTGGAGCGTATCGCCCACTTGCGATATTTCCGATTTGAAGAAATAGCCCACAATCGATTGCTGCCGTATGAGGGCCCAGAGGAAGCAATAGCTGAAAAAAATAAGCTGCAGCAGCGCATTGAGATATCCCAAACGACACAATTGGAATTGTCGCGAACCGTAGGACCCACGTAGCCGAAACGGCGTCAGACCGAGCACATAGGTGAGCAGCAGTAGCGTTTGCTCCGCTCCGTAGGCGTCACGTGGTCGAAATAATTCGCGGCAAAATCGCAACATTGTGAACTGGAACTGTGCGGTCATGTGTGCCGGACTCAGGGGCTTTATAGTCTAGCCTGTAATCAAGTGAAATTATTATTTCATAAAATCGAGCACACGCTTATTAATGGCATCTACACCTTGAACTTTGCGGTGTGCCAACTTTGTTCGGTCTGTTTACACGCGCTGTCATGACCCCTTAATTGAAAGCTGTCACACTTTATAAGCTTCATTTTATGGCTGTTCCCATTTTTATTGTTTGTTTTGCTAACGCCGTTCGTATATGAAATTATAAAGTGTGGACAGCGGTGCAGCCGAGGTGGCTTGGGGAGCGCTTGGCGTCTGACAGGGTAATTAATTTAATTGAAATTGGATGAGAGCTAATAATAAGGTAATTAAATATGCAGCACTCTTCAAAGACGCATGAAAGTATGCTATAGTTTTTTAAATTACTTCATAAAGTCGGGTTTTTCTGCTAGTTGGAGTGATTGAGACGAGTTGGACAAAAAAAATTTCGAATTTGCAGAGAAACTTAGTTGAAGTAATATTTTAGAACCATTTAAGTTGTTTTTATATAAGCTACAAAGCACAATTATTAAGATTTCTTAAGTATTGGGATTTCATTCCAAACATGTCGTTCCAGTAACTTAGTCGGAGCTTAAAATATTAAATGCATACAATTTCAAACCACTTCTCAATCAGCATTCCAATGGCAGACGAGGCAGATTTTTCTTGCTACTCTACTATTTGGAAGACTACGATATTTAGCTATAATTTGTTGCCAACATTTACAGAAATAAATAATAAATTAATGCTGATACTTTTTTTATATTTGCTTATTTATTTTACCACTACTAATTCTACTACTACTATTTGGAAGATTTCGATATTTAGCTATAATTTGTTGCCAGCAATTACAGAAAATAATAATAAATTAATGTTGATACATTTATTTTTAAAATTTACTTATTTATTCCCTTAGATTGGCTATGAATTTGTATACCCTGTACCCGAAGGGTGTAAGACAACTGCTTTGCTTTCATTTTATACACCACAAACATGTATCGATTTCAAAACTACCAATAAATAAAGAACATTGAAAGTAATTATGTAGAAAGGTTCTTTGATGCAATTTTACATAGTTTTAGTATATAAATAAATTGTTAAAGTGAAGACGTTCTTTTCAAACAATTTGTTCTATAAGTTTAATGTAGGTTATTGTTGTACATTACGCTTCTTCCGATTCCCTAACAAGCTACTTCTGTACCTTATAATCAAGTTTTTTCGATATTAAACAGTAGTAGTAATTATATGCAAATATAAATTAAAAATATTTATTGTTCTTTCACATTTGGTCAGACGATGGATTGCCAAATATATTAAACCGTGCTGTCGTTTTTCGCTTTTAAAACAAATCGAATGGCCACACGCAAGACTTCACTACTTGTACAAACTTTATAGACGAATTCATATTAAATGTAAGTAAAACGATGACTCAAGGTTTTAACTGCTTGCTAGCAGTAGTTATTACTGAACACTGTTGTAATATTGTGGGAGCTTATGCATGAAACTACTCGTATAAAGCAATACAAACACATTAACACCATTTTAAAACACTTCTATATAATAAATAAATAACGTTTTTCCCAAAATCCAAAAACTTTTGTTGCTTATAACTTAGTTAGGTTGAGTTAAGTTTGTCAAGTTTTAACTGTAATTCGGAAACTCTGTAAATAATTAAACAGTTTCGCAACGTACCTTATTGACCATAACGAGTCGCATCTCCACCAAATAGGTGAAGCAGGTGAACATGGTAGTTGCCAGCGTGAGGACCGTGTGCTGGGTTATGAAGGTGAAGTGCAGGGCTATCGATGGAGCCATGTCAGCCGAATAGATGACGAAGAAGGTGCCGCATGAGAAGGCGAAATCTACCAAAAAGGTGACCGTGAGGTGGGCGTAGCAGAAACGCAACACCTTGCTGTACATAATCTTGACACCGACACTCTGGAGTTGCATGTCCATGGTGTGGAACTTTTGCAGACACTGCTCCACACGGTGCTTGGGAATGATGGCCGTCAAATAGATGACAGTGACGCCAATGAAGCCGCTCACGATCTGCAGCATATCGCCGAAGTAGGTGATGCGCGAGCGAAAGAAGTAGCTGGCCACAGACTCGCAGCCATTCAGAATGGTCAGGGAATAGCACACACTATAGATGACAATATGCATTATGCCGTTCAGATAACCGAAGCCTGTCTTCTTAACACCCGCAAGGGTGATATAGAAGGAAGTCAGACCATGCAGGAAGGTCACCAGAAAGAGTGGACGAAGACACTCGTGCAGTTGCTTGGCCGAGAGCAGGCGACGCACTCGGCTGCGAAATGGCTGAGGCAGGACGTTCAGTTCCACATCGTCACTCTTATCGGTCATGGCACAATGTACGAGTAGTTGTGTCACAGTCACACGGAAATCGGAAGTCGGTTGTCTGAGGTCGAGAGGAAGGCGTCTGCACCGGTTGAGCTTTGCGCGGCAACTGACTGACGAAGCGCCTGGGCAGCGAAATATTTGCATGGGTCCGACACCACACAGCTCGTTTACATAACTGCTCGGTTGGCTGCGAAGGCGGGTGTGGGGGCGGGGGTGTGTCTGCTTTGTCAACGGTAAATAATTTTCTGCCTGCCTGTTGCTGTGCGTACTTACATATTGGCAGCACACCAGACTATTTAACCAGACAACCATTAGCCTAAACTTTTTCATTTAATGAATGGGTCTTTGTATGTCTCCCCTGAGATGCATATGGAATTTGCCTATCTCTCTCGCCCTCGCCCTCGTCCTCTCTCCTTCTCTTTCTGTTAGTCCATCTTATAATTTACAGTGTAAACAACTAGCTGGTCAGTGACTCCTTGCACTCTAAGGATTCGAATTCGCTCAATGAATGAGTCGCTCGACGAACTCTGAGTCCAATTTCGACTCACACTTGTGCCCCAAAATTTCTGTGCTCTATTTATGACACTGGAATATATTCAGTAAGCCTATTAGTCTTAATTAATTTTATTATTACCGTGAATGAACTCGACTTGGCCAACATGAATTTATGTGCTTTCTTTTTAGGGGGTAAAAAGTAGTGTGTTGTAAACATCAGGTGAGATTTGGTCAGTTGCCCTACAATATGTTGTTGCTTACGCGTAAACGATAATATAATTATATTACTTATTTAGGAATTTTTTAAGCAAGTAGGAATGTTTTGTTTGCTAATTTCCTCGTTGGATAGCAGTCGTAAAGTTTCAGGGTAAAAAAATATACATATCAAAAATGACGTTTATTAAAAAAATATCTGTTGATAAAATATTCGAAATAAAACATTTCCAGAAACATCCCAAACAGGCTTTGAATAACAAAGAGTACTCCAAAGTTCTATGTATAGTTTTCTGTTATAGTAATGCGTGTCTTTTTGAAGAATGTTTCTAGAAAATTGTTCCTTGAAGTTATTCGAATTATTATAAGAATAAAAATGCGCTTTCTATTCGCCTTTATGCAGCTTACAAGCGTTGTCTTTTCGTTAATAAATTAAAGTTACGAATCAGTCTGATATTTATTTCAATGCATTAAAAGCAAAATTCTGGCTAATTTTTGCTCTCAGGATCTTGCTTTTCTTTGTTTATAATAATATTTATATTGAATAGGTGGAAGAATTGTTTTCTTGCCCAAGTTCTAAAGTGTAAATAAGTAAGTCTCTTTGAAAACTCATTAAACTGTAAAACACTTCAGATTATAATCAAATGTTATCTTCAAATTCTGAGTACCACAATATAATAAACATATATGTATGATGGGTTCAACAAAAAAGTAAAACTGTATATAAAAGTTATACATTATTTAATTGAATTGCCTTGATAATCTGAAGCAATCTTCACTCACTTAACAATTGAAAACCTCAACTCATAAAGTACGTACACTCCTCTAATTATTCTAAAAGCGCCTAAATAACTAAAACGCAGCAATAATTATAATTTCCTAATTGCTATTCAGCATTAACTGATTGCTCACAAATCTGTCTCACATCTATGCACAATAACTATATTTCTAAATCAACTTTTGGCATAAAATGCCTTGAGGTCTAGACGAAGAGGAGCAATGTCCTCGATTAGAATAGAGCGACTCGGATAGCGCATCTTCACATAATTATATTAAATGTCAAAACAAGTCAAAAACAATCGCCACGGGCAATAAAACTACAACCACAACAATAGCGATATCAGTCCGAAAATCAAATACACATGTGTTCATTGAATTAACATAAATTATTTTCACGCCTGATTTGTGTGAGTCCCGCAGCCATGAGGCACCACGCAGAGCCAGTGCGTCTGCTGATACAGCAACAACAACAACAACAACACTAGAGGGGGGGGGGTTCACAATGTAAATATTTACACTACACGCACACACACGCACTACTCACCTGATTGATGATACTCAATCGACGCTCGAAACTGAACGCAATCACACAGAACAAACAAATGGCGATGGAGACGACCGTATGTTGGAGGAAGAAGGTCATGCAGACACAGAAGGATGGAGTGACGCCGAGGGAGACGAGCAGCCGGAAGACGCCCACAAAATAGATGCCGAGTATGAAGATTTTGAAGACAATCACGAGTATCGAATAGCGAAAGATGCGTGAGTATTTAACGCGTATACCAATATTATTGAAATTCGTATCCAAGCTATGCAGAATGGTCAGAGTTCCGAGCAATTTGCAACGCTTCACAAAGGCCGATGTGTAGATGACGGCCCCGGCAATTAGTCCATTGAAGATTTGGAGTGTGTCGCCAATGGTGGAGATTTCCGTGCGAAAAAAGTAGCCGACAATTGACTCGCCCTGGCGCAGCGATGAGATGTAGCAGAAGGCGCACAGCACGATATAAACGACGATGTTGAAGACACCGAAAAAGGACATTTTCAAGTAGGCTTCACCCATCTTGCGCTTGCCCACATGGAACGGCGTCAGGCCGTAGAGGAAGGTGAGAAAGAATAGAGGACGCAAAGCCTCGTACACCTGCGTTGAGATAAAATATTTGCGCACACGCGTCAGTGTGGTGGACATTATACTAAAGGCTGAGAGATGCGAACAAAACGCGAACGCGCAGCGCACAACCGTCGATGTGGAAGTGTCAACTTGAACTGCCTGCCTGCCTGCTTGCCTGGCTAGTAAGGACGAGCGGAAGGCGCAAGCGAGCGCCGCGCAAATGCAAAACGAGCCGGCGCCTGAAGAAGACGATGCGCAAAAACGAAACAAACCATCATCATCATCATGATGTTCAATGACTCCCTCACGCCTCCGAGTGTGCAAAGCAAGGGGTGGAACCATTCTCGTAATAGACACAACAGTCTGTCAACCAGTACATAGTCCATGAATGAGTGTGTGTGCGTGTGTGTGGGTATCCTTCTCGCTTGCACTGTCGCTCGCCTTGTCATCGCCTGCTTAGCATAGTCGAACAGGCGCCGGAATTTAATCTAGTAGTGGATGTGTGCATATGCTTGTGTTTGTGTGCCTGTGTGTGTGAGAGAGTGTGGGAACTACCTGGCAATTCATTATCACACCACAAATTTTGACATTTTTGTTGCCGTCACACTCAACTGAGCGGTGCACGGTGCGTATGCGTAATATGTAAAGTTTATGGCACTTTACGGGCCATATGCAGATCACTCCTCCCTTTGTTCCTCCCACGTTTATTATTTGCTAATATCCTCCTTTTTTGAATAGCATGCACGTGCTGTGCCAAACGATATGCAAAATATAGTTTTTAATTGATGGCCTGTCATGTAAGTAAGGTCAGTCAAAAAATAGACACCTTCCTGCTGCTGTTCTAATAATATTAGTCAGAGCAGTTTCCCTTGAGTTGTGAAAAATTAAACACTATTAGTATTCACTGCATTTATGCATATATTTAAGCAATCAAGGATAATGGCCATAGAAACGAGTAGAAATATTTTTAGCACGCATATCTGATTCAATCCTCTTATGTCAAGTGGAAATTTTAGCCACTGACTTGGGAATAAATTTTCAATGCATAGTAGTTTCGAGAAAGCTCTTCATACATGGCCTTTGTCGAGGTGGGTGCAGCAGCTTCGAGGCTTCTTTTCCGAGTATGTGTAAGGTGGAATGTTGAAACAAAGTAACGGAGTAGACGAAACTATTGTGAAATGTGCGCCAGCCAAATATATAAAATACTACAATTTAATGGTTATTTTAATAATACAATTTATTCCAAACACTGAGCTTATTTCGGGAAAACTTATATGTGAATTAGCCAGCAGCAAATAAAATTAGAGCATATACATTTGTATGTAAGCATATGTTCACATTCGTAGATAAATGTGTGTTTGCAACAGAGCTAGCGAAATTTTGATGTTTAATTTTTTTTTGTATTGTTATGTCTTGCAAAATATGAAAGCTGCTTTTTCACTCCACTACCTATAGCTATAAAAGACTTAAAAATTAGCTCGAAATGATTTCGAGGCATCAAGCAAATAAGTATTCTGTAGAATACAAGCAGGTCAACATTATAGTTTAAGGTACTGATATAAAACTATCTTCACACAGTATAACCTATAAGGATACAACATTATTATGAAAAAAGTATTCAACTATTCAAAAGCTGTTAGCAGAACACTGCAACAATCTAACTCAGGCAAACGAAAAAAATAATAATAACAAAAATGTTACAAATGTATATCGGCAAATACAATTGGGGCGTGAAAATTTGCATTTTCGAATTTGATTTGAATATATTTGGACTAATTCCTTATTTCTATTTATTATTCGAAAACTCAAACGAATACAATTCATTTTTCTGCAGGACCCATGAATAATACCAGTTTTATAAGTTTAATCATTTGCTCCAATGGGTTTATGGGTTTCTTTGTATAATTTTGTCAATTTTTGTTTAACTTTATATATATATTTCTCCATTTTGTTTAATTATGTAGAAAAGGCTAAGCTGTCTGCACTCTTTACATTAAAATATCGTAACTTCATTTCTAAGTTCAAATGGTTTTGAAAAAAAGTGAATAAATTGAAATCGAAAATATTTGCTCTGCTTTTAACAATTTCTGTAGCAGCATTGGCGATGAATCTGCAGCTCATTTAACGGCTTCAAATACAAACTATGAGTAAAAGACTCAGAAAATACTTTAATACAGATACTCTCATAATCTTGGCTTTTCAGAAATGAAAAGCAAACCGAGGACTGCAGGTCTTTTCCCATCTGAACGATTCTATGGTTTCTACTGTACTGCTTACCATCTAGATATAGCTATAAGGTAAAGTTTTAGCCATGAAGCTCAGCCTATAGTTCTGTATGATAAGCTAATCCTTAAAGAGATAATATGTATTATTTGGGGAAAACATCACTTCGATTTCTTAAGAGTTTTTCCGTTAAGCTTAAAAGCAGTTTCTAATGATACGCACGTACAATTGAACAAAATGGATATGGAAATTGTCTAAAGTTTAGAAACTGCCGTTCTGAGGCTCTTCATCTGCATCAGCATCTGCTTGTAGATTTGGTTCTTCTTCATTGTTGGCCTCCTTTTCGACAGCTCTTTTTTTGCGGTGGCTGCTTTCTGTGCTTGGGCCCGTTTCCTTGCCAAATTCCTGGTCCCAAACCCTTAGTATTAATGCTGTAGCCTTCTCTGCTCTTAGCTTGGCTGCATTTTCGATTCTTGATTGACGAAAATCCCTCATCTTTATTTTGATTTAATCAAATTTTTAAAAAAAAATTTGCAACGAGCGTTTTTCATAAATTTTTGATCAAAACTGCTATAAGTGAATGAATTTTTCGTTTTAAAAAACAAAATAATCATCATTTGTGGTCAGAAAAAAAAACATAAGTTACAGAAATTATTTAAGATAAACTTTATCATTTTGATATATTTATTTCATCAAATTTGACCCAGACTGGTTAAATAAAACAAAATATTTATATATTCAAATATAAATCTTAATGCAGTATTTGTGATTGAGATTGCCTACAAAACAAAAAAGTTAGTAATTGACGAGATAGCCTACGCGATTTGCTTTTAAGTTTGAAGCGAATTGGAAACAATTTTGAAGTGAATGTGTATCAACAATATTAAAGCTATAAAAACAGGTCTCCCTTCATAATAGAAATGTATGGATAGATCCGTCTATTCTCGATAATGCGACATTATTGCCATTGATAAGTATATACTTGTATATAAAAATAATCTTACTTACTTAATTACTCTACTTATTTCACTCACCTTGTTTATGCGGCCAAATCGTCGTTGTATCGAACGCATTAAGAGACAAAAGAAGCATATGGTTATAGAGATGGCCAGCATCTCGTAGACAATGACAAAGCATAGCTGCCAGGAGGCCCGTACCCTCAACTGTCGAAGGCACACAACGCACGTCACAATCATTGCTCCATCTAGGAATGCCAGCAAGCTCAGCACTACGAGCACATAGCGCAGCATATTCGTATATGCCACCGATTGTTGCAGCTGGTCCAGGCACCGATCGATGCGCACGATCAGCTCACAAGCCTTTTTAAGGTGGCGACGTCTGAAAATTGTCATCATAAAGGTAATAATGGTGGCAGTTAGTCCTCCGATTTCGTGCAGTCGCGTCGTAAACTCGGAAATATATGTGCGCATAAAGTAACCGATCAGGGATTCATTCTGAAGAAATATGTACGTATAGCAGTAGGAGAGCAGCAGCCAATGGGCAATCACATTAACAAATCCAATCCAACAATCGCGCAACGAACGCATCCCATTCGGGTCTCGGGCGACATGGAAGGGCGTGATGCCCAGAAAGTACGCAATACTAATGAGCAGCCGAATGCTGCCATAAAAGTCGGGCGTGCTGAAAAGCCAACACCAAGTACGTTGGAAGAAAAGCGTAGCGATTGAACGACACATTTGGCAGTTGGCGGTGTTTAACGGAAACTGAAACCGTAAGTGGTTAAGTAGCCGCCCTGTTGGCTGCGTGACAAAAAACTAATGGCTGCTATTACAAACTGTTGCATACTTTTGGGCACTTACATAAATGGAACTCGCACAACGGCACAATGGGGCAGTTTAGCAATATGGCTGATCAAAAATAAATAAACACTATTTCAATTAAATAACATAAGAAAGTCTTAAAATATTCTAAGCAAAGAAACATTTTTGTTGCTGGCAATACTGAGAAACCACGTAGCTTGCTGAAAGCATTTTATGGCAAGTATGGTAGCTTACTATATTTATTTAAACATTTTTACCAAGTCTTGCCATTTGCGCGGATTTGATTTGCCTGTCTTTGCCCAGAAACTATGCTGTTCATTAGAGACGATCAATAAGTATGTGTGTCTTAATATAGACTCTCAAGGCAGTTTTCTCAGCCACCAAACCAATTAACAGCGAGTATTTAAAAGTAAATGTGTAGATATGTCATAATAAAGAGAGGCTTTCATTAATTAACTTTTTATGCATGGTCATTTATTTTTAATGTTGCAAGTTAACGAAAATAAATAACAAAAACCCTCTAATGATTTAAAGAACCTTGTTACGAAAGAGAAACTTTAACTTCAATTTCCTATATGACGAAACAATTTAAATAATTTCGAATATGTTGGCCACTGATTGAAGAATAGGCCTTAAAACTAATTAATTTTTCAACAGAAGAATGCTAATTTTTAAGAAAACATCAAACGTCCTAGTTTTTTTTATGATTCAGGGCTATTGTTTAATGTTCGAAATAGACGAAAAAAAAGTGAAATATATTTTCAACATTCTTTTGTGAGCATTGAAATATATTTTCAACATCCTTTTGGGAGCATTGAAATATAGTTCCAACATTATTTTGGGAATAAAAAATGAATAAATGATCCCCAAACACAAGGCATAAGATTCCCATACTCTCCTATCTGATTATTGAACTGCCGCCTGGTCCCCAATTTACTAAAATATATATCTATACGGAGTAGATAGGCCTACCATAGTTATAGATTACCAGCATAATAAGTAATATCTCCCCTGTAGATCGAACCTACGATCTTGGAACTTGGCGTTGCTGTGAACAGCTGTTTGTTAAAGGCAAGTGTTTTTAACCTTTTATCAGAGCAGGTGCTTCGGACATAGTTCCATATCTCGTTCATTCTTGGCTTACAAATCTCTTTGAATTCTTGACTCAACATATTATCTCCGCTGTATTAGATCAGGTTAATCTTGAAGAATCTCTTTCACTCTCCTTTACAACAGCAAATTAACTATAATTGGAAAACTTATAATTACTGCTTCAATACCTCACTAATAGATGTACAAATATAATAATAAGGTTTACCAAACTACCACACTGTGCAGTGTTATCGAATGTTTTGTTCATTTTGTTGCTATCAGCGCCCAATTGTTAACCATTTAGGCTCGCCTAATTATCAGTCAACATGGGGATTTGTTCTGTGCTTAACAGATTAGATTTCAGAACCCCATGGCAGTGTTCGTCAACGTTATCTTGAATGCTAGCTTTACTGGAAAAAAGGAGCATGGTGGGGGCAAACCATTCGCGTGACTCGCTATGCTACGAAAGATAGACAGATAAGCCAAGTCAGCCCCAACAGCACATACATGCGTGTACATATATGTGTGTGTCTGATGTATATGTAGGTTTTGTTGGGCTCCTAACAGGCGCACAGCAAGTGTAGTCGGTTGTTGGCAAAACCCAGCAAATTAAACTGTCTGCTACATCTTCAACAATGCAAACGATTGCATAAGCAGAGTCTAATGAGCACACAACGTCGTCGCTGTCGTCGGCAACGTCGTGCTACTACAAATAGATACAACAAATCATGCGAGTGGCTTAGAATTTTGTCGCACAATTTGCTAACAACAATAACGATAAAGAAAACAACCAACAACCAACCGACAACCGACAACTTCGGCTAGTCATAATAATAACAGACGCAACCGCAACAATTGTTGGCCCAGCTATATAGCTCTTGGCCCAGCTCTCTTGTCTCTCGCCTCCAGGCTGCCTTTGCAGCTACTGTTGGTGCTTCCATCAATGACAATGGCGAAGGCGCCGGCAAAGTGGCGCGACAATGCTGCTGTGGCTGATTGTTGTTGCAACAGAGCCAAGGAAATACTTGAGGAGTTTCTCACACGTGCACCATAGATTTGAGATTATTTGAAAATTAATTAGAAACGATGCAAGCTAAATAAATATTGAAGAAGGTATAATGAATTTCTATATTTAGATGTTGTTTTCGAAAACCTGAAGTGTACTTCTCTACAGCTTTACCATTGATGATATTATTCTATTTATTCTGCTTATTATTTTATTGTTTTTGCAAAATCAATGCAGAAAATTGGCAAATAGACTCTTAATTTCTTAATTTAATTCAACGAGTTTGAATTTTTTAGTGTTATTTCTGCATATGTTTATTTTTTCAAGCCATGACATTCACATTCAATTAAGCTTTAAGACATAAAGCAAACAAAGAGCTAAACGCTAATCATTTGATGCCAGTAGAAGATTGATCGAAATGCAGAATGTTCGTACTGGCCAATATTTGCAAAAAGGAATTTGCATATAAGTATTTTTTTCTATTAAATTTTCGATTTAATAAACAAAGACAGCAGTTCAATAAAATATGGTTTAATAGATATTGTTGTATTTTAATTAAATTTTATTCTACATAAATTAATTAGTTATTATTGTAATTTAAATAGATTTCTCCTTCTTAGGCTTTTCTAGCTTATAAGATGATTTTTCTAATTTTTTATATATTTTCCCCCTTTGTCGACTGTCAATGTTTGTTGACATAAATAAATAAATAAATAAATAAATAAATAAATAAATAAATAAATAAATAAATAAATAAATAGAAAAGTAACTAACAAATTTTATATTTTTTAGAAAATTGCCGTAAAATTAAAAATAGCCCTAAAATTTTATTTTTAGGCATATTTTTCGAATTTTTTGAAACCACAAGCCTAATTGCATTTTAAATTTAAAATGTCCAAATTTTATTGTGAATATTCTGATTTTAAAATATTTACGTGATTTACTTTTTAAAAAAATGTATAAATTTATTTATTATCTGGCCGATTGCATCATTCTAATTAAGGAATCAGAGGGAGAACAAATGAAAAGGTAAAGAAAAATATTCAACACGAGTGGGGAAAATTAATACAGAGCGCAGTTTTTATAGAGTGTGTGTTTTTTTCTGTTATACCCTATACCCAATAGGAGTTCAGCGCACTCGACTCTAGTATTCCTTTCTTGTTCACCTTCGTGTATTCTAGCTTGTTATAATTGCTTACTTATTATGGATTTTGTATTCTTCATTTGTCCAAGTTTTGATTATGATTAAATTGTTTTTAATTCTTGGAGTTTATTTTATTTAGAAATAACATCCAGTTATTGATTATGTGCCATCGTCCTAAGTTATAGCCATAAATATAGTATCAGATGAAACCTCGATGTGCATTTATGGCATTGAAACTATACATAAGCCTGTGTACGTCTTATGTATTTTGAATTTTATCAATTCAATTTAATAAGTTTAATTTATTTAAATGAATTTAATAAGATATGCATTGAAAAAATAACTTTTTACAGGTACATGGCGTTTAGGAATTGGGCCCGCTTCACTCCAGCATTATCTTTGCACCTTGACTTGCTTTTATTTTAAAAATTGTATTATTAAAAATTTTACTGTAATAATAATAACAAACTATAAAATTTTAATTAATAAAATACCTGTTTGTTTGATCAGTTTGTTTCTATTCCCCTGTGAAATGATAATTGGATGAGAATCCAAAATCGAATAGCACTTAATAAAATAGCGTTAACATTTTGAAATCTCATTTTATATTTTAATAAAATTTTGTTATATTTTTGGTTATATTTGAAATTGGTTTTAACATATCATTTAATTTAATTGGCTGTGCAGACATTTAACGTCCTAATTCAAAATCACACAGCCTTTTATGGTTTTGTGCTTTTATGCTTCTCCTTATTCATTTTCATTTGTGTGAGCGTTTAATTCATGGCTATAACAACTGAAGGCTTTCCTAATGCAAAAATTGTAGCCATTATTTGAATGATGATATTTTTGTTCACGTATTTTGTTTTGCTTCGTACCTGCTTTTTGAGCGTTCGAGAAAATTATTTTGATAAACTTGAACTGTCCGACAATTAAACCACCTATGACATTTTGGTTCAAGTTGGCGCAAAATCGTGGCGGAACACTTGCTGTTGTCTTCATTGTTTGGTCCAATTCTGCTGCATGAAGCTTAATATACTCGTATATATGTATTTTTTGCATTGCATAACACTGGCTCAGGGTCGACACAAAGACCACGACTAGCGTTGGCGCTGAAAACGATATTATGGCGTTGTTTGTTGAATGAATGGGGCAGCTGTAGTGGCCACATTGAAGATAATATGCATTATGTAGGTATTATTAGTTTGATGTGCCTATTTGTCTGTACATACTCGTACACTACTTTTATGGCCAGAGCTCTAGAGCACTCCCCTCGGGCCTTCTCAGCTCAAAATGACTGAAGAAGTTAATTAGCCACATTCGAGCTAATTGTGTTCACCAAATATGCTCCATTAACTTTGACTGTGCTTTGTGTGAGCACTTCTTGAATATTCTGTCAATTGCTTCATTTTTTTAAATCGACCTTGCCTTTGCCCAAAATGAAAAGCCAGCCTAATGCTTGTTTAATGATGCGCCCAACAACAAACCCACACCAGACGCCACACTTTCGTTTTCAATGCTAAAGCTCTCGCCGAATTGTTGCATAAACATCATCAACATTAACATTATTTGGTAGTCGAATTCGTCAAGACAATGGGTCTCAGTAATTAAAAGCTGCGTGTTTAACGGAACGCCCAATGCAGATGTCAAATGACAGATTAAGCAGCCCAAATT